AATTTCATCTGCTTGATGCACCAGTAGTGTCCATTTAAAATGTCACTTTCTATTCACTGGCATGCTGCCAACGATAACTATTGCTTTCTACCTACAGTGCAGATAATATTAAAGGTGCACTCTCTCATGACTCTTATGAAAGCAATCACGGCTGGAACTATGAGCATTTCAGAGCTGCCAACAAGCCATAATGGAAGGCACACTGAGAAAAGGAATACATAAAAACAAAAGGGCAGTCACTGCCAGCAATTAAAACCCTCCAGGCTGGGCATCACTGGCAGGCCGAAATAAAGGCCTGCCACCACAGTGGTGGGACCAGACCTGAGGGTTGCCTCCGAGCATCCCTTAGCACCACTCATTCTCAGGAAGGGAGATCTCTGCTGTGGTATAGTTTTTCTGAAGAGACACTGCTGATTTTCAGTCTCTCCTTCTAAGAACAGAAAGAAGATTGCCTCTTCCATGGCAGACCTACTGATCTAATGGCCATTTTGTAAGTTCAAGTGACAGTCAATACCATAAAATTAAGATGTTCTGGATATATTCTTTTGCATATGCAGCCAGGAAAGAACTACAGAAACAAAAGGTGCTAACAAAATCATTTAATTTACTTCCTTGCTTATTGATATTTCCATAGCAACTTCATTGAGAAAGTCATTCTTTTTAATGTTTCTGCTTATGTTTTGTTCAGGACTGATCAAAGACCTGTTACAAATACTTTGTCCTCCTTCCAATAGCAATAATTTTTGGAAAAGTTATTTTGTTATGAATAAAATGAAGTCACTCAGACACAGAATGATTAAGCTTAGATAACTACATTTTTCACTGCTAAAATAACGAGGAACGCATTTGGTTTACCTTGAGGGAATATTATTTTGACCGTGATTCAGGAAAGCATGTAAGCACATGCTTCATTCCATTCAAGGCAGTGCTTTAACCTACTTGACTTTCACCTGAATAGTCATCAGCATGTGTCAAAATATGCTATTGAATCAGGGCATTAAAACATCTGTCAGTCACCACTTAGTATGTGTCTCCACAAAGTATCAGTGCACCAAGGCCAATACAATAAGTAAATGAAACCAATAAAGTACAGTTACAGGCAATGAAAGTAATTCAAAACATACGGTCTACTTTGCAACTGCCAACTAGTTTTTGTATAAATATATATATACACACAAGAGATTTTCCTTCTCCTATTATTTAAGCATCTTGTTAATCCAACCTCAGTAGCTGAAAACATCAAATAAAATCCTTAAGCATCATTTTAAGCATCATAGTTTAAAGACAGCATTTGATTTTGGAAAGAAAACCTGAATAAGCTTCTCTGGAAAGTATAATCTTTGTATTTATGAAATATAAAATTTTATTTTGTCATTGCTCCAAAAAGCTAAAAATGTATAATGTAATGACTGGAATCTTCCTGTAAAGAAGAAACCATAGAGTCGTGCAGGGAAGTAAACAGCCACATAACTAATGCAATTTCTCTTTCTTTCAATTTCTTCTATAACACAAGCAATATGAGAATATCCAAATTATTTCCCCAAATGATTTAGCTGGGAACAGAGTCAAATCAACAGATGGCAAAAGGCAATGTCATTATACAAGAAAACAGACAAAATCAGAAATCCACGATCTGAGCAGGGATAAGGAGAAAACAATGATTAAGCTACTGAAGTTATTGAACCATGCTTTCCATCCACCTACTGCATGTTTTTTAGTGACATATACACACATTTGTGTGGGGGGGGGAGAGCAGATAGATACATATGCACATACATATATATTTATGTGGATATATGTATTTATACACATATATATCACAGAACCACAGAATTTCTAGGTTGGAAGAGACCTCAAAAATATCTACACATTAACCAACAAACACCTGCTTAATAAAAAAACTCCTATATTATATTTTTTTTTCTACTAAATTTGAGCATAGATACTTTAAGAAGCTAAACATGAAAAGGAAATTTAGGACAGTTACTGATCTACCATAGCACGAAAGAGGAGACAGAAGACTATTCTTAGAAATGCCCTTACCCTTGAGATATGCAAGTAAAACAAATATTGTATTTGGGTAACTGCTATAAATGTGTGTCATCTTTTCCATACCTTGTGCTTTCTGAAGTGCTACGGTTAAGGAAGACAAGACCTCAATGTGAAGTAATACAAAATTTCCAGGCAACGACTTCTCAACAGTTGCAGTAGGCTTCCTCCTGAATTAGGCATTGGCTCAAGCCAAAGAATCCAGATCCATACAACCCGTTCTTCATACTACATAAAATGTCTGCAATTATACAGAAGGGATTAATGCTTCTGTACAGTAGGTGCCATTCTAGGAGCTTTGCAATAGGAGCAAATCTTATTAAAAAACAGAGATTTCTTCCTTGCCTATGACATACAGCGAATTGTGCTCTAGACCAAATGTTTGAACACATTGCTAAAGAATGACATGGAAGAGCACTACTGAGCTCTCTCAAACACCACAACCTAATACATGAGGTTTTCTTGGAAGACAGTTTCACAACTTACACAAGGAGTAAAACAAACAAACAAACAAACAAACAACAACAACAAAAAACACCAAAACAAAAAATAATTCCAACAATGTTCCCTCTATCTTTCAATCTCTGTAAATATTATGGCCAAAGAATGCTTTAATATCTCTTTGATTTATTTATGTTCTCCCATCCCTTATAACTACCTTGTTATGATTTATTCTTGCTTCACAACATCTCATCAGTCATATCAACTCACAGCACAGCTGTATTTTAAGTAGAATTTACATAGAGGGCACCAAATTTTGCAGTAGTAGGATGTGTCATACGTGCATATGCCTCTGAGGCTGCAAGGTCAATGGGTCAAGAGAGGGATTCCTTTGCATGAAGGAGAGAAGAAAGAATAAATACATGGGAAATACATGGGGGAAGGGCGGGGGGGGGGGGCGGATAATAAAAAAAAAAAAAATGCACAGGCTGTCCTGGGACAAGGCCACTGTTTTCACCACTGTGACAGAGTCTGACATTTATGAAATCTAAGTACAACCTATATGACATTATACCATGACACTGTATAACGTAGCAAGAATTTATGTACTATTCTGACATAACCTATGTGCTCAGTCTTAAGCTCGGGAAAAATATACACTGATGATTCTTGTCAAAACGGGATGCCTCTAGAGAAGGTATTTTCATACCATTTATTACTTGAATCAGTACACAATTACGACAGTTGCTATTCAAAGGGCAACTTGTATTCAGAAAAATCATTGCAGCAGTATCTCAGATGCCATGGTTTGGTAATTATGAATGAATGAATGCTGATTCTTCTGAAGAAATCATTATCCTAGTAGAACAACGGGGAAAACAAATGAATGAACAAACAAAAACTGAAAACAATGTATTTGCCTAAAAAGATGCAAAGGTATATATGCCTCCAAGAAGAAGGTTAACATTGATTTAAAAATTGATTAGAACAGAATGAAAACTGGGTTAATCATGAGTTCATCTGTAAATTTCCTATGAGCATAAGTATAACCTTAATTTTTCTATACTGGATCCATAGGAAGCAATTCTTTCTTTTCTCTTACCTGAAGCTTCTTTGATCTCTTGAAAACCCAAGGAAGCAATCTCATACACTGTATAGGTATACTTAGCCTCATGCAGAGGCTCCAAAATAATCTGTGTAGTGCCACCCACAAATGAGCAGAGGCTCAGGTTCACCGTGCTGTGAGGCTCATGCAAGTCTTCTCTCTGATGTCCACATTATACACATTTGAGCTAGCTCCCTTCTTGTGTCTCATTTTCCCAGCTAGCAGGTTGCAAAACCAAGTTTCTCAGCCTCACTGTAGCCTCAAGCAAAAGCGAACGTCAAAACTTCAACAGATTAAGGAACTGAAGATTTCCAAGAAGAGCATTTTATGTGATTTTCTTTTTAGAACTTCCTGTTGCAAAATGGAAACCCAAACAAACAAAAACAACAAACATATTTAGGTCTGATATGAATTTTGCTTTTATAAATTTTGAATTTATTTTTTCAATTTTTAAGTCTTAATAAAGCTATATACTATAAAAATGGTAACCAAAGACCCGAGAAATGACATGTTGATTGCAGAAATACTGAAATCAAAGCCATCATGCTTACTCTTCTCATCCATTCTCCTGCAGAAAAGATTGATCTAAGTTAACTTTCCTACAAAATATTTTGCTTTCCACAAGATTTCATTTTCTAATAAGAGGCACTTCAAAGAAAAATTTCCAAGCCATGCTAATGACAATTTATAGGGTTTGACAAACAATATTTGTCTTGAAATTCAAGTTTCTATGTCATCAAAAGCCACTGTGACACATACGAGCAATAAAATAAATGGAGTTACTTCAGAATTGATCCTGTTTTTATAAAGATTTATAGATTGTTAGTAATTTTTCAGGAAATCCATCTTTCACAGAGAAGTTTAAAACATTACAATTCCTATGTGGTGCCCACTGCTTTGAAAAATGCATTTTGTGATCCTGTAAATTTAATGGCTAAGATGAGCATGCTGGAAACGGAAAAGCAGGCAGAGAGTCTCTGCCCTCTCTCATGCTGTGGGTTACTGCAAAAGGAGGCGTTGAGGAGGGTGACTCCAATGCAGGAGTAGAGCTCACTGACCTCTACTCACAGCCCTCCTGCTAGAGGGGCTTATGTGTACACATTCATAGAAATAGGAAAGAGGGAAAGACGGGGCATCCAGGCTGCATATACACTCATGAGGATCAGAAATTTATTTGAGGAGAATGCTTACAGTCTGTAACTTATAAAGTAAAATAACAACAATTGTGTGAACCTAATGAAATAAGTTAAGATCAAAAAAGTAAGTTAAATTCTTTTCAACAATGAAAAAAAATAACCACTGGATCAAGTTTCCAACAGCTGTAAACACGTTTGTTTGTTTGCTAGAAATTTTAATATTCCAATTGATTTTTTTAAAAATGCATTCTAATTCAAATAGGGTTAAGTCATAATTATACTGTTATGTGAAATGACCAAACAAATATATAATACCTCCTTCTCAGTTAGCTAAGTAGTGTTTCTATTCTTCTGAATAAATCAGAAAATCAAAGCTGAAGTCAGGTCTTCCATGCTTGGAGAACCAAGTCCCTCACCTACGTTTTCCCCAATAGTACATCGTATCATAGAGATAAACTAATAATGTTGGAAAGAAGTGGATATTTGTTTTGATTATACACACATCTATTTTTCTGGCTCCTGCTCGTATGTTCTCCATCATCTGAACTGGAAGGCGGCAGAGTCAGTAGCAGAACGATGGGGTGATTCTTCATGTCATCCTATGAGTGACAAGAATTTCTGTTATCCAGGCTGGACCTTATGATCTGACTGTAGCTCCATGTAAACCATAGGGCTTCCTTCATGCACTCAAAACCAGAAAAACAAAATAAACCTCAGATCCATCTCTGTTTTGTTTCCAGCAAACTCTATTTGTTTAAAGTACAGATGAATTTTTCCCAGAAAATAACAGTCTGTTTGGAATTAATTTACTTTTAGGTCACATTGGCACAGAGATGATGCCTTTCAAAATGAAATTTACATCTGAAGCACTGCAGAATTTTAGGGGTTCATTACCTTAATGTTATGCCTACCTTGAAGTGAAGAAACTTATCTGCAAAGATACAGTCTTAATAAAAGGTAAATGATGTAACAGAAAGGCACCAAAATTAACCAAATACCTCTTTGTTGATGCCTGTGCCTCTGCCTCACCAAGCCGCTCCTTTCTGTATTCTGTGGCACACCAAGGTAGAAATTAAATTGCCTTTCTTCCATCTGAAAAATGAAATCTGTGAAGTTTCTATTTTAATGGAAACCTTGTCTTTATTCCCTGAACTTCAATGAGAAGCCCTTTGACACCTGATACACCAGCGTGTTAAACATAACAGGGCAGCCGACCACTGGATGGCCCAGTGTCAGGCCCTTAATATACCATTGCATCTCAAAGAGGAACATGATTCTCTTTGTCCGTGGGTGCAACAGAGAGCTGATGTCATGAAATGGCTATGAGGAAGAATAATACCATCAGAACTGTTTATTTAATTAGTAACAAGGGTAAAATCCTCCTAATGCAGCTTGATCAAGGGTCAGTTTGAAAGGTCTTTATCAGACTATGGGTAGCCTTCAGTGACTGAGGCTTAATAATAATCTCAAGACTTCAATTTCCTACTAATAAAGGGTAATATAATGTAGGGTAAGCCCTCTTATTTGTTCAGATCTTTTTAACCACTGAGGAGCTAATATGCAACAACTGAACAAACAGTGGCCACACAGGTTTCATTTTTAGAAGCACACATGACCTCTGATGAAAGAAATGATCAGTCAAGCTCCAAGGCAAGGATGGAGAGTTTGCTAGTAAATGCATATTTTTTCTTTGTGAACCAAAAGAAAAGCAAGCTACTACCATATGTGATATTAAATAAGAATGCCTGAATATGACTGTGGAATTGTTATACTATAAAAATGTTATGGCTTTCAAAGAATTTTCATTGGTAGAGTCTGATGGTCCTTACAAGCATGTTGTCCTAAATGGAGTCTGTAGAAAGCTCTAAACTTATTAGCATTACGTATGTGGCAGATTTTTCGAAGTCTTAGTATTGCCTCTTTACAATTTTAACAGCAACTAAACTCACTTTGCTGTTTCTTTCCACACACTTATACCCAAAATATCTGCCTAAATCTCTGTCTCCCAAAAGAAACTCGTCTATGCAAAAGTGCAGCAGAAATACAGAAGATTTTGATCACTATGGAAGAAAACAAGGTTGCCACTTGTTTAATGCATATGTATAATTAATATATATTAATATATATAAGTACATTTATACATATATAAAATTTAGGAAAATTGAATAATGTAGTAGCCTCCAGATGCCTGGACCAATTTCAACACTGATGCAAGACAGCAGAGACAAACAACATGCCCACTTGCTGCAGGGTGAAATTCAATCTCTTTAATCCAGGATTTTTAAGACTTCGTTAAATTTTTATTTTTCCTTCTTTAAACTGTTGGAGCTTTGGTTTTGGTATACCCACAGGTCTTGGATTGTGGTTTGCAGTTCTTTGGTTACTCACCCTTCTTTGGACACCATATGCCCCACCTCTTCTTATAACTTGCCATCTTCTCATTTGCCTGGACAGTTGCTCTGACAGCAGCTCCCTCAGGAATGGCCCTGACTCCACATGTCAGAATTTTAATCCACTGAGTCTTTTTCCCCAGGGTGGGTAATCAATGCAGAGAGTCAGATTTATGTCCTTCTCAATATATTAGTCATGAAGTAAAACCCAGGGAGGGTGCCATGTTATTTTTTAACATGTTATTAGGAAATAAAATTATTGATTTTTATCACATCTATGTTTCACTTCTCAGACTAAAATAAATTTTAGGGCAAAGCAGGTAAAATGGAATATTGAAAATTCTTGCAAATATACTGTAGTATTTTACCCTGCACCAGGCTACTGTAACCTATGTACTGAAAGAATGAGAATTAAAGAATAGAGTCTCCAGTAAGTAGGAAATGTAAATCTTATTAATGCTTATAGGAGTTACACCTACACATTAAATAGGCAGTATACTAGTCCTTTAAATTGATTACCTGACAAATGACTATAAAATGAGAGTAACTTTTTTCAAAGCACTATGTAACTATTTCAGACTCTAGGGTTCATGGATTTTACAGTTATGGAAGTAGTTTTTAAAGCTTGTAAAATATATATATATATATACACACACACACACGCACAATATACAACAATGGGACACAGCCAAAAAAAAAAAAAAAAGTATTTACCAAGATAATAATATAACTAAAGGCTATAGCTAGTTCAACACCAATAAAGTAAGTGGCAATATGTATATAATTATCAGGCAGGGGCACTGTATAGGATAGAGAAGGAAGTTCTAGATAGTAAATCTACTTACAAGCAGGTACTTAAAAGGCCAAAGAATTAATTAAACAGTAGCAAGGCTACAGACCATCTCTGGAAAACCTGCATTGGACTGTTGTGAAAGGTTCAATATTGGCATAAACTACACTTATATCTTTCTTTCTGTGCAAAAGTCAGAAAACTATAGGGGCAGAGCAAGAAGAGAAATAGTATTAGATTTCTTATGTAGCAGAAGTGATCTGCAGAAACCTTATTTTGCCCTCATACATCCTCTAATCGTTCAGAATTACCAGAAGCTTATTCTTGTTCCCATGTTCCAGCAATAAAGAAATATTGCTTAGAATATTGCTGGGAGCAGATGCCTTACCTATCCTCTCCAGAAATGTTTGTTGAATAAATATTCCAATCAGTTCCAATGCAGTGAAAATTTATATTATTTCAGATATTATTATTGACAAGGTGCTTGAGGGAACACAGCCTCTTCAGTCCTTTTGATATCCCAGAGCATCACAGCATTTTTTTTCCGCTTAGTTCATGCCTCTCACAGAAGTTTTTGGCATCATCTTCATCCCTTCTCTCATCCCAAGTGTCCTCTTTTGCGTCTCCAGTTTCCCCATGCTGTGGATATCAGTCCGCTCTAACTCTGGTTTCCACAAAGGCACGAGCAGCTTTTTGCCCTCTCATCTTCAGCTGACATCATTATCAGGACACTGACCTGCAGGCGGACTCCCACCCTCTTGTTCCTGCTGATGACACAATTTCCACCTTTCATCACAGGCAGATCCTGCAGCCAGCACTGATGATAAAACTGTATCACCTCTCATCCCCCCATAGCTCGTAAACTATAACTGAAAAATGAAGCAAAAGAGGTGTGGCACAGACACTAACTTGCTGTGTTACAACTTAATAAGAATGAACTATCTGAAGTAATCAGTTAAGAATTGGCTATTGTGTTCTCTGTTCTCAAACACAATAATCAGACTTTAAAAGCAGACAAACAAAAACAATCATAACCCCACCATCACTACCACCATGGTCAAACAACTTCAAATCACTCGTAGTACCGGAAAGAAAAACAAAACAAAATGAAAACACCAGTCTTTCCTCAGTTTTGCTTTTTCCTTAATAAAATAATACACAAATTCATTCCTTGACAAAAGGCAAATCCTTTGATCACATAAATTAGGGAGCTTGAGTGCACTTGAAGCACAATAGAGGATGTTTCTTATATGTAATGTATGTACATAAAAATGCATGGTGATGTTGATTTGTGCAGGCCAAATTGATGGCCAGGTTAAAGGTCCTATGTAATTTGGACTGCAAATCTCTGCTTTTCAAATTGTTGACTTTCTGTGATGCAAAAGCAAATAAACATGAAGTCTTTATCCTGTATTGCTTGCACAATCAGATCATTAGATAATTAAAACAACAAAAGACACATGGAAATATTGGCTATAGATGTAAATCAATTACTCTAAAAGCAATTACATTGGATCTAAATTAGCCAGGGGTTATATGGGAGATATATAATATTTAATTTGCTGTATGGCTCTGGCACAAATCCAGTCAACAGCAGCAGCAAAGTCACCGCTTCTTAGTGATGGTAAAGAGCAACAAAACAATCACTCTATATTGGTGACCTCAGCTCTTAAAGCAAAGATAGAATTCGTACTGCAAAGTTATGGCATGGAAAGAAAACACAACTACTTTGAATGAAAAAGTACTTACCATAAAACAGAATGAGGACTAGCTTGGAGTAAGCATCTTCCCATTTCTTCTAGATTACATATGAATTCTGTCACCATATATGTAAAGTGGATTAAATCTTCCCTGAAATAAAATGTATGAAGCAGAAAAATACTTAAAATGAGCATATGCTGCTGCATGAAATAGATTTAAAGGGATATGGCTACTCTGGAATAGTCACATCCATTATTGCCACAGCCTACTCTAATAGGTCTTCCCATTTATTATTTTTTTAATTGGTCTTGTAGCAGACATTAAGCTAAGACCAACCATCTTCCTCTTGAGATATTTTCAAAGGGATATGTGGAACATGTTTGTGCCAGCCTTGAAATTCTGGAGTTGCACTGACACTGCACAGCTGCACCCCTGGAGATGCTTGCATACAAGCTGACCAGTTGCTTTGTCCCCAAGAGGTAGCCAACATTTGAGCCTGGATGGTCTCCTTCTGCTGAAGAACAGGTACAAAAGAGACCTACTCATGAAATCTCAGTTATCTCATATATTTGTCTGCTCAACTGTGCCCACAAACTGTGTTCCTCCCTTCAGAAGGGAAAAGGAAAATTGTGTCTTTTCCTGGGGAGAAGCTGAGCACATCTGCATAGATGAGTGCTGTCATGTTGGAGGGGATGGTGAGCGCAAGGGACACTGCAAAGGTTCCAGGGGCCAGCAACTGCAGTTGAGAGGAGCCAAACCTCCTCAGTGGGGCAAAAAATTACCCTAGGAAGCAGAGAGGGACTACACTGAGTTTGCTGTAACTAAATGGGCTGAAAATTGACATCAAGAACCCTTCCAGGAAGGAGGAAACAAACAAAGGAAGATTTGTTTAAAATATCTCTTCTTTTTGACTTTTCTTCTTTTCTTCTCCATTTTACCCAGTCACTTTGAATTGTTCCTGTTATGAAAAGGCAGTCTTTTTTTTTTTTTTTTTTTTGAGTTTAACCACCCTTTTGGAGTTTTGACTGAAGTGTGCTGGGGCATGGAGCTGGCTACACAGCACCAGGGAAAATCTTAGTCACCATCTTGAAAGACACTTGGCATGGGCATAACTGCACAACAGGTAGGATCTCAGCCTCACTGTGCTCTGCAAACAACCTTATTTCTCAAAAACCCATGAGGGCAGTCCCCTCAAACACGGCTGCAGCTCTAACAGCTTTGTTGTTTGGTTGAAGTAGATTGCTTCTTCTTCAGGAAGAAGTCTCCATTTCAATGACCACTGAGAACACAACCTTGAGATACAGCCAACCTTCACCAGAGCAAGTAAAATACATGTACAGTAGTTGTACAACATCAAGAATCTTTCATGTATTCTAAAGCACTTCAGAGAGCTACAACATGCATTTAAGATAAATTAATTTTTGTGTCAGGCCAATGCAATTCTAAAGTCATAGTTAAGTCTTTTTTTGGAGGAAAGCCCAGTGACAGGCGAGATAAAATTTCACGTTAATTTTCCCTTAGAGCAAGTTGGGGGAGGGGGAGAGGTGGTAGAGTGGGTAAGAAGAGTTGGGGTCATTGGTGGCGGGGAGAAAAGGTAGTATAATGCTGCAAAAGAAGAAGGGTAATAGTTATAGGCAATCAAAAATAAAATTGCTCTAAGTACCGTAAGTAGTTCTAAGAAAACCTCAAAGCCTACTTAAGAACTTAAAATAGGACAAAATTGGTGCTTGAGGAGGCACACTGGACTTGTTCTGAATATCTTGGGTTATTCTTCTAACTGAATTCTCTTTCATCATACATTTAATTTGCCCCTGTGTAAACAAACATTTGGCTGAATGAAATCCCAGGACAGGGCAGGGATTCAGGGAGGTTATGTTCTGGGAGTAGGTCTCTCCAAACTAACCATTCTAAAAAACACTTTGGAGAACTAGCCCCATTTGACATGCTAAATAAAATAACCTATTAAAGCAGCTGGACAGGAGCTTATACTTTGCCCATGCCTCAGCTCTTGCCAACACACCAGCTCCGTGGCTGCCTGGTGAGGGAGGTGCAGTGTAAAGCTCCATCCCTGATCCAGTGCAGCTACTGGAAAAATAAATTACCAAGCTCCGAATGTGAGAGAAAGAGCAATTAAAAAACTCCCCCCTTTTTTTTAATCAAGGACTGTTTTGCCTTGAGGGCTTGGAAGGGAAGGAAATCAGGCTTTTCAAGCTTTTGTGGGGTAGGCTTTGGAAAATATCTCTAATAGACATCCCCGTCCTTTACAGACTGTGCTCTGCCCTGTATTTCTTTCCCTTATGGCGCATGTGTAGGAAGATTTGTTAGACCTTAAACTTGTCACAAATGTAGTCGCTAACAATTTGCCCCCATGTTCAGATGCTCTTGCGATTGCTTTCTCCAGTAATTACTCAGTGGGTACGCCACAGCAAGCTCCATAAGTTACAGCTAATCACTCTTAAGTGCTGGAAGCAGGACTGTATTTGTGCAAAGAAACAGCAATCAAATATGGTAAGCAGATGGCTGTTTCTTGTCCTGTTACCACACTAAGCACAACAGATTAAGCCATGATGGATTTATCAGCACTGATGGATACATTAACACCATATGCTTTTATAGAATAAATAGCTTTTGACATTTCATTATAACTTCTGATGCCCCACTTTAAAAAAAAAAAAAAAAAAAAAAAAAAAGCTGTTTCTCTTAAAAAGAAAATGCAGATGTTTACAACAAAGCCAGCAAGTTTTCCCATGTTCTCCTTAAGCATTGTATTTCAGCATTTTATATTATGTTAGACATAATTGAAATCCCAGAAATACTTCCAGAAATCCATACCATTTATTTAAACCATAAACTGCATATTCACTGCTCTAGTGGCTTTTTGACCATCAATTCTTGTAACTGATAAATGCCAGCATTTTAAAAGCAATGGAAGTCTTAGCTCATTTGCCATACCTCAAGAATCATATATAGGATTATGTAAATAGCAGTAAACCAAATATAAGAATCCAAGAACTTTCTCTGTCTGATTTACAGGGTGATCTGTAGGGTATGGGAATGCACTGAATGTTAGCTGATATTTTTCAATCCTAGCAGAAAACATTTCTTCAGATTTTTTCATAACTCCTGATTTCGTGAGATGAGGAAAAAAAAAAAAAGCAAGCAGTTTTCTAGGAGTGGGGGATGTCAGCTGCCCAGGCTGCTGTCAGTAAATGAGCAGCTGAAATGTACAATTCATGCACTGACACAGCAGATGCTTCAAGCCAGGCTCTGAACAGCTATTGCGCACAGTCATCATACAAAGGGTGATCAATAGGTATTCATTCCTAGTCCCGTCACCTCTAGAAAAGCAGAATGCTAGCTGCTCAAACTGCAGTAACAGAGTTAACAAAACCATACACTTTCAGGGGACAATAGGCATTTTTGGTAGTTCTATTCAGTACCCCACTGTAGTTCAAAACATGCTTAGAAGCCTATTCAGGGTCATCAATCAAAAACAGCTGCATGCGTGTGCGCACTTGCTGCACCTTCTTCATTCCTCCCTTCATACACTTAAGTTCCTGTACAGGTCATCAGTTTGGTGTTTGTTAATTGCTCATCCAAAGTGTAGGTTTTAATCACCTGATCCATCAAAAGCCCTTCTTTCCCTGCCTATATTCATCTTGTCAGTTAGTGACATTTTTTGTAATGAAAGCAGTAGATCTATTGATAGCATCCCTCAACAGAGTAGAAGGCATCCTGCATTAGCTTTGTCTTCTAAACCAGCCTGTTCTATTACAATTGACCTTCTCCTCTTGATTACCACACAAATCATAGTCCTCTCCCCTCTCCTCCCCCCCTTTCCCTCCCCCCCATCTATTAGAGTATTTCTTCTGTAGCCGTTCAATTGCCTGACTGCAGCTGGTAATTGGATTCATGTTTGGAGCACAGCTTTCTACGTACAAGCCTGGAATAATTCAAACAGGACCCTGGCCTAAGGCTGGGGCCATATGTTAAATTCAGATTTGTGTCTGTAAAATCTGGAGTACCCTGACAGGAGTATAATCCATTTAACGGCACAAAATCCTGTCCTATTTGCAACCTGCACTTATTTTCTCCTCAGAAGTAAAATTCCATTTCACTACTCTTTTAAGATGTTAAGGGCAAGGCAATTTCATTACGGTGACTTGGTGAAATGTAAAAATGATGTTACTTTGGCAACTGTCTTACCTCTCTAGGTTTCAGGAAACAATGCAAGCAGTTTTCAATTACGGTAATACAAAAATTAAACACCATAAAAAAGAAAAAGCAGACCTGGCAGCATGCTTTGTGTATACCACACACCATTTACCATGCTGTCTCCAGAGCCTCAGACTTACCATTGGGACCAAGCTCAGATAAGCCGCTACACTGAAAAGCAAAAGAGCAGTTAGTGGTATCAGATCTCCTATGCCTCATGTAATGTTATTTCAGCATCAATTTATTCACCTGGAGTTAAAATAATACAGTGATAAAATATAGTCAGATTCATCATGCTCCAGCTTTTGAAGGTTTGTCATGTTTCTCTTTCTGTTTCTTGGGTCCAGGCACAACCAGACCTAAATTTTGCACTGTTTAGGCCTGTTATGCCCCTTTTTACCTGAGCTTCTTCCAGCCTAAGCCATTAAAATAATGCCAGTTTGTAACTGGCCTAACACTATAGTATATGCCAGCCTTAGATTAGAGTTCTAGTAACTGTAAGGATGTCTGGTGATACTTTGCTGATACATCTAAAACTATACCAACTCTGAAAACAAACACAGACTTGGTACCCACCACACCCTCCACCGCTCCTGAACCTTTCTGTGATGTCAGTGCTTCTCGGCCCTGTTGCTACACCTAGCCCCAGACCTCACCTAGCATTAGCCAAGGTGCCTTTACAACCAAATAAATAAATAAAACACAAGAATCTTTTACTGATGCTGACTCTCAGCATGGGATCCTTTCCCTCCAGTTTCCCAGCAAAAGCAATGAGATTGCAATAGAGCACCCAAAAATATTCCTTGGGTCTCCTTCTGCATGACTCATTAAATTGTTCATGTAGGACAAAAGCAAGGGGCTTTAGAGATCATGAGAAAAAAAGTGAGGAAAGGAATAAAGATCCTTTCCTCGGAGTTAGCAGAAGGATCCCCAGAGCCTATGGTTCACAGTCCCTCCTGCACCTCCTGTATAAATTCCTCTCCCAGTTTGGCAGCTGAAGTTATTGCACTTCACTTGGGATTTCTCTACAGCTTTGCACAAACAGTTCAAGGTTTTAGAAAACTTTATGGCTCAGGACTATTCCATTTGGAGACATCTGTCTCTTCTTGCTTGGACTGTTTTCCCTCACCTGTTGCACAACAGAGAGGATAAGTGATGCCTCCTTTCTTCTCCTTCTCCCTGCCAATGGCCTACTCCCATCCCAGCTGCTTTACCTCTTGAAACGGACATGAAAGATGCAAATCCTTCTGCATCTCTGTTGAGGCTCACCTCCTCCGTAGTCCCATATGGCACTGGTCATTGCCTGTCATTTCCTGGCCTTTTCCCTTCCTCTGAACCTAAACACACAGGCTTTTCCCTCTGCTTCTACATGGGACTGTCTCCTTAAACAGACCGCTCCTTCACCTCCAGGATGAAACCTGATTGCCCCGAGAAGAAATAAAAAATCAGGCTTTGGTGTTATTACACACACTTCATTTAAGCATTTTCTTCTGAAACCACTTCATTCCCTGAGTTGCTCAGTGTATCCCAGCTTGAGCCCACGCCTGTCAACAGGTGAAACAATCAACCCGCAGCAAGTCATTTCTGAATGTCTTGCAGAATATCAGAAAAAAATAGGCCATTTTAGGAAAATACTTCAAAGTTCTGACATCTGATTTGAGGGTCACTTTGTACCAATACAGCAGCTTTTGAATTCCTGATGATAAAGCCCCTGCCCGTGATGTAGGAGATCTGGGTTATTCTTCCAGCTGTGCCTGATTCAAAGCAAATCTGGAATACAAGGGCCTTCAACATACCTGGGAGATGTGTTCTCATTGCCCTGCCAAACAGTCAGCTTTGCTGCTCCATTTTCTGTAAGTAACTCTTCCTCTCAGAAAGCTTCTGTATATAGTACAGTATATAATGTGCACCCGCTATGCAATTCCTAGGTTACTAACTTATGTTCAAAGCAGGACCTTAAAACTCTTGTCCCATATGACAGATTTAACTCCCCCTTCTTCTCATTTCACTGGATGTTCTGTTTACGACCTACATTTTCTTGCTGAAAATATCATCCAAAGTATCACATTCCAGCTCCTGAAACTGCCTTGTCCCTCCCCCACAAATTGTTATAATCTCCACTTTCAGTATTTCCAGCACAAGGAGCAGCTCATAAAGTAGCTGTTGTCTCCTTTCATGGCGTCACATCTTCCAACAATGCAGCTCTTCAAAATATAAGAGCACCCAGAACTCTGAATACAGAAAGTAGGATGCACCTCGTCCCCATTCATTTTTTAACTGTCAGCTTTCTGACAATTTTTTCCTTCTGTACCTTGAGAGAGTGCTCCAGGGCTTGCTAACTTCACTCTTGTCCCTAGGGTTTAAAAGATGTTGGTCACCTGATATCCCCATCTCTACAAGCAGAATTCAGCAGTAAGCAGAATTTATCTTTTCACCTACATCTATCCTACAGATAAAATGGGTTTTCTTCTGTACTACCTGATTGAAAGTCTACTGGAACCAATGGAATCTGTCTATTGCTGACCCCACCTTTTCTTCTCTCCCTCTCTCTCTTTTTTTTTTTTTTCTGATAGATCTCACATTTGCTATCTTTCTTAAAATTGCAGTTCCTGAATGTTAGTGATGAAGTAAAAACCCCATCTTCTTCCTTCTCCTTTTAGTTACCACTCACCTTTGGAATTCCTTCCATCTCACCTTCTAAGCTTGAAAATGCTACTGAAGTGAGATTTAAAACCATTAAAGTGACAGAAAAACTTCTTTTTCTTTCCTTCATGCTACTATTTTATATCTTTAAACTCTTGGCTCTTGTGGAACTGAAATACCCTCCAAGTTCTGATTAAAGAGGCCATTTCTGGCCATGCAGTGATGGAGAGCCTCTTCACAGGTGCTGATCTACTTTTACCTCGCAGCAGGAGATGGGGAAGATCTGATAAGCTGAAAGGGACCTAAGAGCTACTTCAGATTGCAGGGTATGAGTCACCTCCTCACAAGTCTTCTCATTACAAGCCAACTCACTCAAACAGACATCACCATGAGGTTTGGGGCTGATAGAGCTGAAAACTATTTCCGTGAAAAGTAAAAACCTGTAATAAGAACAAATTCATTGGTGAATTATTTCTGTCTTGGTCATGTAAAGAATGCACTAAACAGGTGCTCCATCTGTATTATTTTATTTTGTTTGTGAAATTTGTCTTAAAGTTACCTTACATTGTGTCTAACAATCCAACTAGACCGTAGTTCTGTCAGTGAGAAACAAAAACTGTCAATAAAAGTTTGTAAAAAGTGCCTTTCTGCATGTATCTCAGTTAAAATTTAATCTGTGAATGCAATCAGGGTGTTAGGTGTTTCTTTCTGGAAGGCTGGAGATGCCATCTTTTGCCATCTGTTCTAATTATTTATGAATAATTTGGCAGATCTTTGTTTTGTTGCTGAACTACAGAACCAGACTTCACAAAAAAATAATAATAATAATAATAATAATAATGCTAGTGTTTAGTTCAAAACTACAGCAACATTAAACAGTCATACATCAGTAGCATGCAATCAGACCAAAGAGGTAGATAAAGTAAAGGTAAGTCTTGACATTTTGCCCTCACTATGGGATAACATAAAAGTAAGGAAAAAATAGCTGCTCCCGGTCTGGCACTAGTTCTTGCAAAGTATGTCCCTCCTTCACTGGTTAATTTTCCTTGACAAACTCTAAGTGAATTTGTCAAATTATTCACCTGCTCATCACAGCATCTGAGACCATCATCTAAGATCTCAAAGTAAGAGAATCATTATTGCCCTTTCTTACCAGTGGAGAAAAGTAACAAACGAAGTCCTCAAGATCACACAAGGTGTCTGAAAAACAGCTGAAAAACAGGGCTCTTTGGCTCCAGACCAGAACTTCAGGAATTACCATGCGATCTTTTTGGAACAGTCACTACAACAGTAGTAGTACAGTTGTAGTATTTTAAAAATTAAATAAAATTGTATTTTAGGGCAGGAACCGCATATTGATTCTATTGAGTAAGTGGTTCATGGAGTCCAATGTAACGGGTTTCCTACCTTTTTGGTGACAAAACTCAGCTATAGCATAAGTGCTAAATATATATTATAAGTGTTAAATATATTATATTAAGCTTCTGGAGAAATATATGAAGAAGGATGGTCCAATATGAGTCAGTATTGACTGGTGAACAACAGGTTGTCCAGTTAGTTATTTTAAAGGTAAATCAGTCACTTCAGCCTGTCCCAAGCAAAGACACACTGACAGTGGGGATAGAGGTGGTAAGGAGGGGAAAAAAAAGGGGGTGGGGAAATAAAGTTAATAACCATGTCTTGAGTTCTGACCCTGTTTCTGTCACAGACTGGGTATACGACCTTCAGCAGCTCCTTTCTTGCACTGCCTCATTTTCCTTTGTGTGAAGCAGGTCAGAAATTCCTCCTTATGCTTTCTCACGGTGATGCTGTGAGGGCTGATGGATATTTGCACTTTTTTTTTTTTTTGAGCATAACTAAAGCTAGAAAGAAACAAAACATCATCTGAGGATTGACAATACTAGGTTTTGTATTATGATGACTCCCAAGAGTAAAAAATCTTATGGAAAATAAACAGGAGAATGACAAACACTGTCTACAGTAATAGCACCAGTGAGGCTGTATTGTCAGCTCCTCTGTTACAGTTTATGTAATATGTACATAAAAGTGCTTGATTCAATTTACGTGTTTGAATCAGAGACAGAAAAGAAGAGTATAGAAGATAGCTGGTTTTTTTTTGCCCTCACGGTATATCTATACACCAGGACTGGGCTGATGATTGAGATCAGTGTTTTCATCACCCAGTGTTAGATAAAGCTAGGGTACAATGTTTTCCAGCTTAGATTTCTCTCTACAGAAGGCACACACAGTTTGCCATAATGCCTTTACAACCAGATTGCTCAGCAAGCGCAATCCATTGGGGTGTTTTCTTATTTCAGCTGAAGAAATAATACACTGCATTGTTCTCTGTAGACAGTGAAAATATTAGAATGATTTGAATAGAAGTATTGCTATTTTTTACCCATGATCTGGAGGAACGTGGTGGTGTGTGATGTGGACATGACCTCTGAGACCCTACCCACCTGACTCTGCTATGGTACCATCAAACTGGTTTGATGCCAGGTTCCTTGTCATGGAGGATTTTCCCTCTGCCAGACCATCAGGTGGTTTTCATGCTGCCAAATAAACCACTGAATGGATAAAGACTCCATAACCCATTTTCATTTCAATTTTCACAGCCAAACTGTGAAGCCAATGTTTTCCAAAATTACTCTTGTTTTGGTATATACAACTTCAGATTTGACAGAGCCCATTTTTCACAGTGAAAAAAAGAAACATGGGAGTGGGATGTTATTTACAGACTCAGAGCACCATATATAGTGATGATATATACCTTCCAATCCATTACCTATTTTATAAAACTTTGGCTATAGTTTCCAAATTTTTAACAAGGAAAACTGTAACATGAAGTAACTACGTCAGCCAGAACTCCTATATTTGCAATTTAATTTGCAGATTGCTTTGCAATTAATAAACCCCCATGCTATAAGAACATTTTAAACAGTATTAAAACTCAATTATTTTAAGCATTTAGATAAAATTGCTTCCCAAAACTTGAAAAATAAAGTAAATTCATACAGTTCTTCTTCAAACAATTTTTATGATGCAGTTCTTTATGAGAACCATAATCAGCCTGTGGTGTACAAGACACACTAGTTTATTCTTACCCTTTGTGATAGTAAATAATACAATACTCATTTCTATACTTTGGTAACATATTACTGCACCATCAAAATACACGTAAAAACAAGATTTAGCATATAAAAATATTTTTTCACATTTGTATGCCTTCTATGATATATTAAAAAGCTAATATAATTTCTTATTTTTTTAATATACCAAAGTCTCAACAAAATATTAAAAAACATAACAGAGAAAATGGGAACACTTTATGACGTCCAGTGGAAGTATTTTCTAAAAAGATTTTTTTTTTTTTTGTGAAAGGTCTTTAATGAAAAAATTTGATTTTCCAACCAGCTGTAATTGTAATTGCAACATTAAAGCAGAACTCGTTCCAGACACAAAGAACATGCAGACATAAACAGCATATTTAGATTAGTTACTGGACGAAACTCACCCATAGTGTAAGCAAGAGCTTGATAATTTTACTGAAAAAGGCATCAGAAGATAGCAGTGAAAAAAGGAGACAAGTAAATGAGAGCACGGAAGGACATGGCAGATTGCCAATAGGAGATGGAGTGTAAATCCAAGTTTACATAAGGGTAAAAGAATAAAAGTGAAGATCAAACAGGAAAATTCCCCAAGCTGTCTTAAAGGCGGGGACATTAAACGCATTTCTTGTTTTAATTATAATAATAGTAATAACAACAGTAATAGTAGCAACACTAATAATAATTCTACACTAAAGAGTATAAAGATAGTCATTAAGATCTTGGGGGAAAAGAATGAAGATTTAATCTATTTCCTGGTTTAGAAAGTTAGTAAAAAAAAAAAAAAAAAGTGTTATGAAGAGTTATGATAATTTCGCTTTTCGTTTCCCACTTGTTCATACAATGATTCAAAGATTTGGGGCCAAATGCATCTCTAGTGTAAGGAGGTGTAATCCTCATTACCTCCAGTTCAAATTACACTGACATGTCATGAACTACTTCAATCCTGAAATTCCTACCAGGCCCATGTACAAGCATCTCACATATACAATTATATAAGGGCTATTAAAAATTCCAGAGAGCAAGTGTGTTCCCATTTGTGCACTTTCAAACACAGATTTTAAGGTTAATGTTTTACTACAAGCCCTAATTGACTCTACAGATGCATCATTCATTTTCTCTGAGTGGTATCACATTTCCTCAAACAATATAAATTCACAATTTATACTGATATATTTATATTTTTATAATATATATATATACACAATATATATAGATATAAATACATATTATGTTTTATATATATATTTAAATAATATAATTTTTTTTCTTTCAGATTTTTCTTACCAACAAAATCTGCATCCATTGCCTATGATCAGGTGACAAAGACGAATTATTGTTGGCTCACATTTCTCCAACAGTGCTATAAGGTCTGCAATACAAATTGTCCATATCTGCAGTTGCGCTGCATGTCTAATACTAAAAGAGTAGAAAGTTCTCAAAATTTTATCTCTGAAATAAGCACATATCATCTACTTAGTGATTTTGATATTACACTGAAAAAAAATCTTATCCTATCAAACACTCCTGGCGGATGATCAAAATGATAAAATAGTAAAAAAGATAGCATTTTGAAGTGTCTTTGGTAGCAACGTGTGTATAGCTACATCCAAACTCTTGGAGGCTCGCAGAGTTATGGAAAAGATTATGGTGTCAGTCTACTGATATAATAAAAATTATTAGTAGGCAAATATTAAAGCACTGAATGAGTTAAATCAATTAAAGTAATTTCAATAAAAACTCAAGGGAACATATGTGAGGGAGTTAGAATCTTCATCTACTCACCTATGCAAGAAAAACAAGAACTTGATGCCATTGTATAAAATAAGAACATCTGTATGCCAGTGTAAAGGAGATGACTTGTTATGCTATCAAATGTGTAGCCTATCTTAATAAGTTTAACAGAAAATCATTGCAAAAATTTAAGAAACAGCAGAAAGACAGTGAGACAAACCATTCATTCAAATGCTTCTAGACTTTAGACTCATTTGAACTTGATACCATTCACAAGATCTGTTAGGCCAGTAGCGATGCTGCAAGACAAGCAATAAGAGCAGTCTAGCAGCAGTAATCTTGAGCACCAACAGAATGGGTTCCACAAGAGGAAATTTGATCTCAGTCTTGCATTAAGATAGAAACCTTAGGCCAGTACAGTCTACTTTATCCACGAAGCTGGAATATGCTGCATCAACTTAAACACTTATATTTGACTTATTTCTATCTATACAGTCAGTGGAACTCATCTTTCTCATATCTGCAGAAATTAAGGTGTTTTCATAGTTGGTTCTTATGGCACAGATGAGAAACAAAACCAAGGTGATGGACACACACCAGATGTTTTCTGTCATCATTTCATCAGCCCCAAAATGATAACATAGGAATGAAGACTACATATAACCTGTAAAACACGGTGGACGGTAACCAGTAAAACACTGTCTGCATGTAAAGAATTCAGTGCCATCTGTTATTTTCTTCGCATTCACTATTCTAAGTATAGCTATCCATATTTTTTCAACCCCAAACACTGAAGATGTCAAACACCTAAAACAGTTTTGTAATGACACTTACAAACTGAGGAATGCTATGCATGGAGCATCTTCTTTGCAAAATGTCATGATCCTGCAGGACCCCATTGTCCAAGAAAACCTGAATAACATTAGTATTGCTTTCATGCAAAACACGTGCCTGAGGTCTACGCTCATTTGGTATGGGATGCTGGTAAGGTGATGATAAGGAAGAAAAGGCTTCTTACATATTCATAAGGACCAAACAATTAGCAAGTCTCCAGACTCGGAAAGAAAAGGTGTGTGTGTTGGGGGATGGGGGGTGGACATGTCACATAATCATACATAAAACAATAATCTTGTGAGAGAAAATTACTAAGATTACAAGAAGAATCAATGTACCTGTAAATTAACAAAATGGCAGCTGTAATAAATGCTCACCCCTCTAAGACCACTACACAAGACAAGAATGGATCAGTCTGGTCTCCCATAAAGACAGGCCTTTACACAGCAGAGTTTTAGTCCAGAAAGGCTGACACAGTGCCCTGTCTCAGTTTAAGGCCTCCAGCATTACCTAAAAGAAAGAGAAACACAAGAGGTGAAGGGTTTCACTGGTGTCCTAGCCACCTATAACAGCAAGTTAGTTGGTAAAAATCTGAGGGTCACCCCTCGAAGCAGTGTGCACCCTGGAGCTGATCTCTTACAGCTGATCTCCGTAGAAATCAGAGCTTCATGACTTACAACTCCAGCAGATCTCAAACATACTACTTCATTTTTTGTTGTTATTATTGTTGTTTAACTTTCAGCTTGAAATACCTTTAAGATCAGTCTGTATAAATAGTTAAATATTCCCATTTATTTCTGGTAACTACAAATAAAAACTAAGCTTCACTAAAGACACTTGCAATAAATGTCCAAAGACTGGTATATGTAATGAGTTTTTGGTTGTTGGGAAAGGCAATGGCAATCTGAAAAAGGTGTTCATTCATTCACCAGACTTAATCTCCATATGTCAAGTTACAACAGTAGAGCTTTTCTGTCTGTAATTCATGGTAAACTGTAACCGGAGGAGAAGAAAAAAAAAGAAAAACAACTAAAAAAAGAAAAACACTTTAAAAAAAAAAAAAAACACTCTTAAAAAAAGAAAAACACTTTACTATCCACATGCTTGTTTGAAGGCTCTATGTTTGTGTGTTTTGTAGACAAACCACAGCAAGAACAGAAGAACAATCACCACCCAGTGTCATAAGCACTTTAGTTGGAACAGAAGAGGAAGCAGAGTAAGATTGTTTCTTCTGATGGCTGTTTTGATTTAATATGCGGCTGAATTACGACATCAAGTACTAGTAATCTGATGTCTTTCATGCTTTCAGCTCAAAATAAATTTTAGAAAGACATGAAAAAATGATGGTGAAATGTTTTCATCAAATTCTTACACAAGTTCTACAACATGAATAATAAATACAGGGATGTAGACTAAAAACATGAACTATATAATTCAAAATTACTACAAAATTCAACATGATGTGTTTTCTGAAATAAAGAAATGAGTGAGAAGCCTGCATGTAAAGGTTTACCTCTACTTTGAAATATACATATCTTCAAGAAAATTCTGGAACCAAGAACTTTTGAAGGCTGTCAAAGGAGAAATAATAAATTAGTCAGGATAGGTGCCAACGTTTGCTAATGTGCATATACAAATCTGTCGGTTGTCTCAACCTCGTGTTTTTTATTTTGTTTTGTGTTGTAAGTTATCCCTTAAATATAATTTGCAAATATATCTGAAAAGTTATATAGAAGCTCTTTTCTCTTCTCTAATTTATTACACGCATAGCTGTTCAGGTGCACTGTCTCCATCAAGCAGAAACTAGAGACAGCATCACACCTTGTTAGTAAGTTCAGAATTCAATTATATAACCCTAAATGTTTCTATAAATGCCTAGGCTTTTTAACTATGCAACTAAAATCCATAACTAAATATAACTTATAGCAGAAGCACAAAAATGAGATAGTACCTCAGGAGATGGCTGTCTGACAGAAGCTGTGGAATACAAGTCCTTCCCCAGGACTCACAGATTTCCCTGGGTCTGCAGGATTTCTTACTAACCAGGCAGCTGGGAGTCCATGATTTAGCCTTCAGTTTGCAAATGCCATTTCATTCTTCCTTAATCTAGTTTGTATTAAAGCATCCTCTCCCTCACACCAGGCAACCATTTAGCATATACTGGTTTTCAGATTTGCACTCGATATTGTGAAAAAAAGGTGAACATTTCTGGGAAGCACGACGATTCCCATTCCCACAAAATGCAAGTGGAGATTAGCTCCCATCACCAGTTGCCATTCAAAGCCTAGGAAGAGATGGTGTTTTGTTTTCTATTCAATCCTCCTACTGACACAGGTGCAAATTGCTTGAAAACAGGTTAGCAGTAAGATTGTCCTTTCTAGGTCAGAAGACTATGCCTAATGGTTCTGGATACTGCAGAGATAAGCCTTCTTCAAGGAAAGGTATTCTTACCTAGTCTTTTTTCAGAAGTCATATGGGGAAGGTTCCACGTAGCCCTTCTTTGGACATTGTCTAATAACTTTACGTCCTGCTTATATTGTGGTGCCCCAAACTGCAGATGGTGCTTGAGGTGAGGCCACACCAGTGCAGAGCAGAGCAGGACAATCCCTTCCAGCTAGTAATGTCATGCCTGATGCACCCCAAGGTAAGGCTGGCCCTCCTGGCCACCAGGGCACACTGCTGGTTCATATTTGACTTGCTGCTGACTAGAACCCCGGATCCCTTTTTGTGGGGCTGCTCTCCAGTCTCTCATTCCCCAGTCTGTACATAAAGCCAGGGTTGCCCCATCCCAGGTGCAGAATCCAGCACTCGCTCTTATTAAACTTCATATAATTGGTGATTGCCTGGCTCTATAATCTGTCAAGATCTCTCTGCAAAGCCACACCTCCCTCATAGGAAAACACTACAATGTAGAATGTATAGAAAATATGATATTTAAATACATATATACACCAAAAAAAAAAAAAAGAGAGAGAGAGAAAACTATAGCTTTGACTTTAGAATAAACTCCAAGTAGGTTAATACACATCTTTCAGATTTCAAGAATTATATTGCTTGAAAACTATATTTAATAAAATGTATAACCCAAACTAATTAATATCATTACTCAAATTCTCACAGAACTCGGCAATCAAAGTAAGTGCTGTAAGTGTAGGGTGAATAGTCTCTCTATAATTCATAACTGACAATGAGGCTTAAAACACCTTAAGTGAAAATTTTAACTAAGGGTTTATTGTACAGTTTATATTCAAATGTGTAAATTTATATCCATAGGTATTCCCACAATACTACTCTAATTAAGACTGTAAAGTTCTATGTTATGCTTATCTATAGGAGACAAACATAAAATAAATACAGACAGAAAACCTAAACAAAAAAATGCATATGTAAAAAGCAATGTTAAATCCTAAAGTGACAACTGAATCTGGTACCATCCTACATTTTTCAAAAAGCTACTGTATTTCTTAGAGAGACATATGTAAAATTCACAAATATAGAATTAATAGACGTGGCATCACTCAAATCTATATAGTAGTGAAAAACATGAAGCATTTGCTGTTTACATTACTATATCAAGCATGTATTGAAGAAAGCTGAAATGAAGCACATCTTGGACTACTCAGATCAGGGTGGTTGGTTTTTGTTTTTGTTTTTTTTTTGGTTGGTTGGCTGTTTTTTAAATGGTTATTAATTTTACATGTGAAACCCTGTTTGAAATGAATCCTGAGGAAGATGTCTTTGTACAATCCTCACTAAAGAAATATCCATATCAGAGACGAAATTGTAATTGAACTCCTTTCTAGCAATCTATACAAAGAGGCAGAGGTTTAAGAGAAAACATAGATCAAATGACTTAGAAGTGGAAAATAATTACAGGAAAAAAAAAATAAAGAAAAAATAAAGAAAAAAAATCAAAAGATACTACAAAGTTATACAAACACTAGAACGTAATAAAAATCTGTCAGGAATACATGCTTTATAAATAAAATAATGACCTACAGTTCCCAATATTAATGCTTAAAATTTTTAATTATTTTTTTAATACAATTAAGATTACACAAAGTTTCCCCAGGTCATCTAGTCTTCCTCAATCCCAAATTCAGGACATTGTATAACTTAAAATACTAACTGCTACATACAGCAAAAATATTCTTGAGTTTTCTTTGTTCTGAAGATCAGCACAAGAAGGTGGGTTCTTATCCAACCATATTTGTAGCCATGGTATCTTAAATTTTCTACAAAAATAATTTTCTGTGGATCACTCATTTCCTCTTCTAGAAAAATTTAGATCTTAACATGAATATGTTACAATAAGAAAAAATATCCAATTCCAATTTTGATTCAGGAAATGGACTATCTTTTGCCGTACACTCCACCACCTCTAGGCAGAAGTGCCACCAGGTCCCTGCCTTAAACTTAACCGTGCAAACCTCTTTAATCCTTGACTAGAGTCCACAACCTGTCAATTGAGCCTCAGCTTTTCAACTGAACAAGGCATGAAAGGCTATATGGGGGCACCTGCTGATGAATGCTGAACCACCCTGCACCCCCTCTTCTAAACCAAACATGCTCAAGACCTAGGTTGGCTTCGCATGAAAATCTAGTTTTGAGATGGGTTGGTGTTGGGTCAGGATCTACCCGTACATTCAAGGTCAGCTGGTGATACAGAAGAAGTAAGATGAGGGAGAAGGGTGGTAAACTTCACTCCCACCCTGTTCACCTAAGTGAGTCTCATTTTAGGCTTAGCTCTCCAAAAGGTATTTCAGGCTTCTTAAGGCCCCAAATGGCTGGCCAACAATCAATGATTGATGGGACTTCCCCAGTTGAGCTTGAGCACCTCTGGGTTAGACTTCTGCTCTCCAGAGAGCCAGCTTGCTGCAGATGGAGTGAGCTCTGGGGCCCACAGACAGCTATTACTCCCACTAATGACATTTTTAGAGGGTGAAGACCTCATTGAATCCATTGACACTGACCCACGGGGCTACATTTTCTCCGTGCTGCTCAGTGAATTAGGCATGCAACTGCTGCTATTAATGAAAACAGGGGATCTGTACATCCAGTTCCTGGCTCACAGGGCTGCTAACGTACCCCATAATTTGAGAGAATTATGTCTTAAAGGCTATGCTGTGGTAGAGAAATCACTCATGATGAAACAATGTTTAAGTGGTGGAAAAATCTTGGTTCTAATGTTAAATGAATTTCTCCAACAGAGACTTTCAAGCAACTATTACAGGATGAAAATTTCACACTTCAGAATACCTAATTTAAAATAACATCTTATATCTTAGGTACTCTGGCTTACTGAAATGATCAGGCCCATTTCTATGAAGCGCCTGTCCCGATTCATTTTGTCTGGAATGTGCTGCCCTGCTTAATCAAAACAAAACCTAAGACATCTACATTTACTTTTTTTTTTTTTTTGAAGTGGATATAGTGATTATGAGTGCAATTTTTATGTTGCTTTTTGCAAGAAAAGGTAGGTACTCATAAAAATATGTGACCTACCACCAATGCCATTATTTTAATTGACATCTGTAAGCGTATTTTCTGAGGTTGCATCAAGACAGACGAGGGCCCTTTGTGCCCTTCTGACAGTGATGGCAATCATTAAAAATTTACCAGGGTCATTAAAGTGAGAAATAGCAGTAATGCAGAGCTGAATATCACCATCCCATGTGGATTCAACTGAAGTGCAAAGAAAGCCAGCACAGAATTAGCTGAGATCCTACACTGCCACCTTAACCTCATTGTAAGGAGGGAAAAAAAAAAGAAAAAAGAAAAAAAAAAGGAAAAAAAAGAAAAAAATCAACTTGTCTAAAGCACATTAGAGTAGCACGTTTCACTTACATGGCAGGTATTGCCAGTAAAGGACATAATGGTCCTCTTCACAGTAAAGCACTACTCGGGCTTTCACGTGGTACCAGCTCTGATGAGAGCTGGCAGGGGGACCCAAGATCACCGCATTAATGTCATCCCAGGAAACATTTCTGTGGAATTCCCTGGGGATATTATGGCAGCAAATGCACCAGGAGGTGGCTTGTGGGCCACCCCCAGTTGCACACAGAGGCAGGTATACAAACGGTGGCCCTGATATGGAGCAGCCAGGGAAGCCCAGGGATGACCCACCTCACCTTTACTGACTGCAAACACGTTTGGCCACAGCACGTGGCCAGGACAGGGGTAGCTGCTCATTGATGGCCTTCTGGAAATCCTTGCTGAGGAACCACCAGGTCATCTTTGAAAGAAAAGAGCAATTACTGTGAGTCAGTAGGCTGCTACCTTACAGCCCAGGCAAACCTGGTGTCTCTTTCCACAGCAGCTGCCTTCCATCAAATGCGCTCCTCTCTTAGCATGAAACCTATTTTTTCTTCATTATTGGACTTGAACTTAAAAAAGCAACATCCCACCCTATCTTTAAAATCAAGTCCTTATGTAGGCACCATGACTACTTTTAGTAAGACTACACGGCACTAAGATGCACAGAAAGCAGCAGCTGCAGGTATAGCATAGTTTAACATGCTTAACCACAAGCCTGATGACTCATAAGACAGGTACCTTGCCAGAACAGCTAAGTGTAAATTACCCTAAGTTTAAAAAAAAAAAAAAAACAAAAAAAAAAAAAAAAACTTTAAAATCATTATCATATTTGTGTTCAATTACTGTACTACCTTGTGAACCGACATCACAAAAATCCTCGGAGAAAAGGTACGGGACATTTCTAACCTTGCTTTGATTATCCTGTTCATTATATCAAAAAGAACAGGAAAGCGATCTCCTACAGGAATCAATCACTGCTCTTGTTTTAATCCGCCTCCTTTGATTTCCTGAGTAGCTCAGATTCAAGATACACTTTCTCCTCTCTCTGATGCTGCCTCTCACTGCGGAACTGTGAGAAGGAGCAAGCAGCACAAAGGCCTTTGTCTGCCACAGCTGCATCAAGCGGCTGACCGACCCACATCCCGGGTACTGCCAGGCTGCACGGGGCTGGAAAGAGCTTCCATCACTCACCTAGAAAATGAAGCAGGGGACAGCACAGGAGGGAGACAAATTTAATTGCGGGTTAAAAGCAGACACTCTGAAAGTCAGTCTGTGCATGCAAACACATGGACACATTAATATATTCATAATATATGCGTAGCATAATTATAACATAATGGCGGTGGATGCTCCACTTCAGCTGATCACATGGGTACTCCCTATCACGCATCACGGATGTTGGTTTTGCTGAAGCTGTGGGACTGTGATGCTAAGGTCTCTTTCAAGATAACTTTTGCCAGCCTTGGAGATCCCAGTGGAAAAAAAAAAAAATGCATGCACCTATCAACTCACACCTGATATATCTGTTCTTCAGAGTCAGACATCATTACCACATGATGCACAAGGGCAAACATGTTTTAAACATATGTTTTACATGGTGCAATCAATCATGATGCAACTAATAACACTAATAGTTGGTATACAGTAACAATACACCCTCAAGCCTGTGCAGTGGTGAGATAATGCATTTCCCAGGTCATTGGAGGCACTAATTTCACCTTCTGCCTCATGATACTTCCAAGGAGCATGTTATCTCAGGGCAACACATGTCTGCTGGTGCCTGACTGTTTAATTATTGTACACAAAATTCCAAATCAGAATAATTGTCATCTCGAAGTACCACTGTGCACTGCAGGGTCCTCTTGATGTAAGCGAACAAATGTAAGTTATGCAGCAAATAAAATGACCTTGGTAGAGATTTGTTCCCCAAACTGATGGCATTTCACAAATTTAAAGCACAAATACAGGTGATGCAATTACATTCTTTGGTTCAAAAATTCACTACAGTTTGTGGTCTAATAAGGAAATTGTCTATATTCAAGATCTTTTGCCAGAATACACTAACCAGGATCTTCCAGAAGATTTTTCTTAGGCCATTTCTTAGTATTAGTAGTTGTCTTAGTATTTCTTAGTGACAGCCTTCCATGTCATACAAACAAATGTGCAAACAGAGCAAGGCTTTTAATCTAGCCCATTAAGGTGCACGGGTTACACAGTTAGCCTCTGATCTAATGAAAAGATATAAGAAGTGGGAAAGGTCAACACGTGAGCAGATGGAAGCACTATGCAGTGGATCCTCACCTTGTGGTATGGAAGATCCAGTCCTGAGTCTCCAGTGGGACCAGCACACACAGACACAAGCCTGCACCCGAATCTTCTCTGTGTGGCTTGAGCATCTGAAACACTGAGCATCTGTGGCATAAGCATCTCTGAATATAATTAACTGATTTTACTTTTCTTTAAGGAGAGACCAGAGCTGAAGTGCATTTCTATATACAACTCATCCTCAAAGCCGAAATCATTTCTACCAGCAATAGAATTTTTGATCAGCTGCCATTTTGTGTCACATCATGTCCCTGAAAAAGAAATGACTGATCATTTTAATGTCTACAGGACTCGAAGTAACTTACAAATATATATTTATCAGCCATATCTAATTTTCTTTACTGTTTTTTAACAGTGAAATATTCTCATGGTAAGAAATGAATTATCCAGGCACATATATTTACTACAAATGAGGAACTCGGGGGCAAATGAGGAACTTCAGGGGAACAGAAGGTTTCTTGTTAACTCTATTTTGTTCTGAACTAAGGCTGCACAATCAAGTTGCTTTGACTGCTAGAGCAATTGGTCCTAACTTGTCATTGGGACAAAAATCCATCACCCGAATTGCTTGATATCTGGGATGGCAATCCGTCATCCAATGACTCGATATATACCATACCAAACAATATCTTATCAGGAATCACTAACAAGAAGATACAGAATCATATGAAAAAATAGAACCCCAAAGGATCAATAACAGTGATTTAGTGCATCCCCCAACCCTGCTGCAGGATCATTAATACCCAACCCAGTCCTGAGAGATGTTTGTGTAACCCATTCTTTTACGTAGTCAATGCTTCCTTAGCATAATGCATGATGATAACCCAAGGTACAGGGGCAACTGTGGCTAGCTAAAGGACTGAAGCATTAAGAAACTGCTGAAATACACAAAATAGTTTTTTAAAATTAACATTTACAACTTCTGTTATTTTTTGTTAGCTGGAATCAGGTTATCTTCCAGAGGTTTAGGGCAATTAGCCCTTCTAATGGAGTATTTATGAGTACATGCAACTTGAATTCTGATTTATTTTTTTAACATGGATAATACTTTTCAGACATCCAAAGCAACAAAGACTTCTTTAAAAATTGTTTTGCTGTTTTATCAATCCCATTTTTTACATCACTTTTTAACTACATGACTAGAAGTTGTTTATGAGGATATCGAGTTCCACAAACAGTAATTTACTTTGGGTTCTATCTCCATTAACATGTAAATTAGCATAAAAGGAAAGGATTATTTTGTTGAAATAAGTGGCTCTGAGATCCTCATAGCTACACTAGAGGCAGTATGGTGGGTTTTGTTTTGGCCTACAGTTAGTCTGGTCCCCTGACTAAACAATTTTTCACATGGCTCAGAGCTGGCTGAAAAAGAGTTGTTGGTTTGGACACACATGCTCTCCTCTCCTGCAGACACCTGGAGCAGCTTATTTTCCCTCTAAAGAAATCCAGTTCCCATGCACAGCTCAGTGAAGCATCACAGGATACATTGGGATGACCAAGTAATGAACTGGATACCCCCACGCACACTAAAACTTCTCTGCTTCTCCATCCCCAAATGCAGGCATGCTTCACCCCATGTTCACCACCAGCAGCCTCTCTGGCACACCGGGGAGCAAGAAGAAAAACATCGGCTGTATCAAGTGTCACCATGAATGAGATCAACTGTTGTTCAGTAATTTGCGTCAGACTCCTTCAGGAATTACCTGCTGGGGAAATTGTCCACTTGCAAATAGGTGAGAAGCTGTTTGTAGGGGTGCGTGTAAACATACAGACACAAAACAAAACATAAAAGTACAATGATTTTTCCTCTGAATGAACATTTTTCAACTCTAAAAGGTGTTGCCACAACTTTTACCCACCTGTGATTTTTCAGTGTCGCTTCCCATTGTGCTCCTTTTTAGCTATAAGAAATGAGAAAAATTATGAGCTATTTTCACAAAGGATTGAACTTTATTTTATTCAGGGTGAGAAATTAAGGATGCTCTGGCTGACAGCATGTGGTTTCTATTTCTGTTTATAAGCAGCCTTAAGATAGTAGGTCAAAAGGATTACAGGAAGGTCAGTGTTACTGTTTCTTGAGGAAACCAGCAATTGTGGATTCACTTCAATATTCTTGCTTTACAAACAAAGTGGATATCTTATATGACAGGGTTTTTCAAACACCTGCTCATTTTTTCTTTTTCTTTTCCTTTAGTAATTGAAGTAAAGGTTAGATTTATGTGGATATGTACCTCTCTTCTCTTCCCTCCCCTCCTTTCACATATTATATAATCCATATAATACAGAGGGAGAAAAATATCCATCTGTATTGTGATAGAGACCCTAAAATATTCTTTTTCTTATAAGTGTGAAGCAAATAAATAGCAACATCATTACAAGCCACATACTATTTAAGGCAAAAATACACGGAGGAGCTATATCATCTCTGAGCCCCACCACAGTCAAAGATTGTAGAAGAAAATGTTCTCTACAGTTCAGACTTTTCATTTCCCATTCACTCACAACTTTCTGATCATGCTGTTCACTAGCATCACAGGGGAAAAAATAATTTTGTTCAAATCAAACCAGTTCATCAATTTATTAACATCTAGTAAATAACCACCAGGCTGTTAACTATACCTTCAGGATTAACATCCATGATGCATCAGGTGAATCATAAGTCTAGACACACATAAAATATTAGCACGCACCCACAAGCATCCCAAAACCTTCTATGCTTACCCCAAGAAGCTACAGTTGTGTCCCAGCCTCTAGGCCTGTCAATGGCCCTCTGACCCCCACCCCCAGGTGTTCAGCCTCTTCCAGTGAATTCCTTTCTCCAAAGTTTCCTTATATTTCCATGGTTCCTGTTTCATCCAGCTGACGGTCATCTTCTCTAGCATGACAGGTGTTCGTTGTTACACACACACACACACACACACACAGCTTACACTCACATCCTCTGTTATCCAGGGTATTTTGGCAAAATTGGCTGTGTGCGCACCCCCAGGGCTAGCAATCCTGTGCAGCCCACTGTTGAAAGAAGGTTCAAGTGGAAAGACAGGGTATCCAGGGCACAATACTGTAACAGATGCAAAGCAAGTGAAGTACATTTGCATATTTCTAAATTGCACGGTGTAAACCTAACTCTATTAGGACCTATTTTTCCTTCCAGAAAAAGGACTGCAATGCTCCAGTTGCTTTTAATGGTTGAAAAATCATGTTCCCTTGAGTGAGAAGATAAGCTGAGAGAATTTTAATTAAAACTCAGTCTTCCTCATCTTTATCCCAAAAGTCTGTTTCCTGTTAAAAGAACAAAAGCCAATCTTTCTATCATTCCCTGACACTTCAGAAATGTCTTGCAGACTACCTGTTTGCTCTCTTTCATAAGCCATTGGTTTCCTGCTGTCGAGGGAGGTCAAGGACAAAACAGAGACCTGCCAGATCCACTAGCTCTCAGGGTGGGCAGTTTGGGGCGCATCTGTCTCTGAATGATGGGCAGCTCAGGTGAATCTCCTGTGCCAGATGACAGCTGGGTGTTGGGGGACAGGAGCAGCAGTCTGAAATCAGTGCTGACAAATAAATCCCATCCTGTACCTACCAAAAGGCTACACTTCTAAATGCAGCCTGAAAATCATCTATGGGCTCTGCTCATCAGTGAAAATTTTCACAGAACCACAAGATTTTTACTTTGTACAGATCCCATGGATTCATTTGTTTAAAGCTGAATCAACAAAAACAAACAGAAAAATGGACAAAAGACTTGAAAAGACCTAGAAACACACTTGTCATTGTCTCTGATGGCAGTGCTCAGTTCTCTATATGGTATCTAATTTTTATATGAATACATAGCTATGTATTTCTTTGATATGAAAATAAATAAAGAAGCCAAACAAGTAGACTAAAAAGAAGCAGCTGAAGAATATGTGAAGGTCTGTGCAATTAAGCAGCACACTGAAATATGGTGAAACTGGGCTTGTTTTGATTGTCTTTTCTCAGCCTGTGTTTCTACTGTGGTATTTTTAGAGGCAAGAAAGATACTGAGGTGCAGGGGAGACCATTTTTACTGTTTGTCTCCCTCTTCCATTTTATCTTATGTTTTGTTTAGATGAGGGGAGAAGTAGGTGGCTGGTTTTTAATTATTATTTTTAGCATAATTTTGTTTATGCAGCAGTTTTCATAATTTTGCCCTGAACTCATTTGATTACTCATCATATCTTTACTACTTTCATTTGTAGTACTGTTATCTTTTGATCTTTTTCTGTTTTCCTGTATGTTTAAAGATTTCAAAACTAATTAAGATGATTAACTAAAAAAGACTAATTGCATTGATAAATGAGATGTGTCACTTCTGATTAGCAGGTGGCTCTTTTGTGTTTTAGATACATAAAAGCAGATGGAAATGTGACAGACTTAGCTATATTTAATCTGCCTGTTTCTTTCCAGACTGCTCCACTTTCCAGTTAACACGGCTAATGACAACAAAACCTACGGAGGGTTCAGATTACTTATATCTTTGTCATTTCTCATTTGGCAACAAACGTCTCACTTGGTACCCTCACGCATTCTTAACTGAGTTTCTGATTATTTTTTTTTTTCTAAATATTTTGTCTTCTTTCTACTCACAAGCTTCAAAGTGCCTACAAGGACAGGGGGATAAAACATACTTAAACATAAGTATTCTGTTTCCTGCATTGGGGTACAATTAAAAGTATAAATATTCCTTGATGCTGATTTTCAAAGAAAAGCTAAGCTGCTTTTTCTTTTACTTTTGTTTTGTTGCTATATTTCAAAATAGAAGTAGACATATAACACTTCTTTTCCTATTCCTAGGATTTTGTCTCTGATACTGTAAGTAATGCTGCTGTGAATCATCTGATTCAGTGTACCATATTGTCCCTTTCTTTAGATTTCTTTTAAACTCTTACTTTTTATAACCTGTGTTTTCCTATTTCACTGTTTGCACATTAATCTTTTTTTGCTACCTTTGTTACAGCATCTGCAACTCCTCCCTTCTCCAAATCTTGACTTTTTCCTCACTTAAGCAATTTTATCACTGACATACCCACTAAAACTTAATCCACTTCAGTCAACATCTGTGCAACTTATATATGTTTTTGTAGTAATACATAAAAAGATACAAAAATGTAAATTGCCATTTCATTCCCATACGTGCAGCTATCAGAGAAGTATGAAAATACACTCAGACACATCTTGTAAGTTCATATATTTGAAGTGCTGGGAAAAACAGACCACA